ACAAATATTTTTTCTATCTTACCACGATATCGAAGACAACAATATACTCAACATACCATGAATAGTGAAGTTTTATTTATATCTTTTATTAGCGTTCTTTATTTAAAACTCAAATTCAAAATAAACTAAGTTTTGCCTAACCCCTTAGTTTTTTTCAATGTGAAATTCCCTATACTCCTTTTTCTTTTTCTCCTTTTACTTCATATACTCCTTAATTTGTGTAATTGTCACTTATATCGTAAAACATATTGTAACACTAAACGACTAACCAATTTGAACAGCAAAATTAAATTGAAACCAAATACATTTTAATTAATTAAAGAGTAAATAAGTATATCATACAACTAAAAATTGTCTCATTATCATCAGCAAACGAGTAGTAGATGAGAAAAAACAAAACTACTGAATATACTGCGTATATAATTTTACTGTGCGTAAGCTCTTCAATTAACAATTCATTTGGAGCACCAGATCGTTTTACCAAAATCCTAATGATTTATTTTAGAAAATAATAAGGGAAAATGAGGAAACAAACACCAAATTAAAGAAAAAGAACAACTCTATAGCTAGTCTACATAAACTTTCAATTTGAAAAACAAAAATCAACAAATAAGTATTCACAAATGTGGGAGTCAAAATCAAATTTGATAAGAATGAAATGAGAATGTGAAATTTCAAATTTATAATTGTTGGTTCATTGTGGTTTGACCTTTTTTATTTTGTTAGAAATTATGAGGGGTTTAATTAAAAAACTTGAACCCCATTTTTGAGCTTTACATATTAAAGTTTCTTATGAGTTGGGTAATTGTTGTTACTAAAAACGGTTAATGTATGATTTAATTAAGCATAAATCAGTAGCTACAAATTGATTAGGAGCTATTTAGAAGATCACCATTGAGGGACTTTGAGAAAAGTTCGAAGAAATCATGAAATTAGTATAACAATTTTGTGATATAAGAAAAGCGAAAGAATTAAAAAAAATGAATTAATTATATAATCTCCTATGAGAGATTGTCACATGAACTATTTTATTCAATTTTAGACATTTTATGTCGTTTTGTTGGAATCCATACGCGCCTACAAGAGGTGTATTTACCTTCTGGGACAGGTCGGCATTTAAGGGTCACAAAGTATCAAAAATAAAAAATTCAGGGGTAATAGGATCCCGTAAAGTATAAGACTGCTAGGTTAGGGGGCATTTGGCTGCAATGTGAGATCCTGAAAGAACAAAAGTATCGCCAACAGATATGATTGCAGTGTTCTGTTGTTCCAGCAAGTACAGTGAAACATACTACAGCACAAGAATATAAACATGCTTTGAATCACCAAGAAGCCTAATGAATGGCAGAAGAACAGATGATGAACTAGGTAAACATAAAAGTACGAAAAACAAGATGTTCTGTGACAAGAGGAATTTACAGCAGGAATAAGAATGAATTTTCGTATTCAGACCTTGTATGATATGGCTGAGATCAAAAACTGACATTCCGTTTGTCACTGATTTGTCTCTTTACTGGTTGGTTAGTGATCCTCTCATCTGCATTATCGAGAACATAAAATTCAACTGCCAGGACAGAATTTGTTTGCATTGCTCATCAGCTGGGATCCCTACGCTTTACTCTACTTTTCATCATTTCAGCCCATCTAGCAAAGAGACTTGAGACCTCAAACTTTCCAGAGAACTTCATTCGCTTAGCCAACTCCTCCAGTATATCAGGCTTACCACCCCGAGAAAAATCAGCAGCGAATTTGTTGTAGTCAAGTTGAGGTGCTTTCATGCCTTTGTCTATCATTTCCTCCAAGTATTTACAAGCCTCCATAGATCGCCCCTGCCCTATAAGCCCTCCAATGAAGACGGTGTAAGAATTTTCGTCTGGACAGCAACCCCTCAGGCTCATTTCCTCCCAAGTTGCATGAGCCATGTCATAGTTCTTTGTCATGAAGAATGATTTCATCAACATATTGTAAGTGTGAATAGTAGGTTGAATTCCATTTCGGATCATCTTTTTATACAAAGTAACTGCATCAACTGGCATTCGTCGATTTATTAGCAATTTGATCAGTGCATTATACAGCCTTGCATCAGGTGGGCATCCTTTTTCCTTCATCTCCGTCAGCAAGGCAAAGACTTTATCCATCCTCTTTTTGTTTCCAAAGCCTGTTACCAAACAGGTAAACGTTGCAGCATCTGCCTCACATCCAGAGCTAAGCATTTCCTCAAAACCGGCAACTGCTTCATCCATCTTACCCTGCTTACACAAATCCCGGATCAAGATCGTATAACTTCTTGTATTAGGTGATGGACCCTTTGCTTTCATAACCTCAAACAGCGTGATCGCATCAGACCTTTTTTTACACTTTAACAGCCCTTCCAACATTGTGTTATGGGCGACAATATCAGGCTTAAAACCCTTATCAATCATCTCATTCCACACTTTACCAGCATCCATCAGATTCTTTACCCTACACCAACCATTGAGCAAAACCGTATATGTTTGTAAATTTGGTGTGAATCTATGCTCCAATTTCTCAAACAATAATTGTGCTTCTTTCCCAAGCTTTGCCCTTCCCAGGGCATCAAGTAAACAATTGATTGTCTCCACCCCAACTTTAAACTTATACTTCTTCATCAACTCAAACATCCCAATAGCTTTCTTCCGCTCTTTTGCTGCAGCAAATGCTTTCATGGAGATCAAAAATGCCTCCATTGTAAGCAAACCTTTCTCCCCCATTTCTTCAAGAACCGAAACCATAGTCTCAAACTGCCTCGTCTTTCCAAGTATTGCCATCATTACATTATACGTTCTTGAATCATGAGCATACCCTGGCCTCATAGCCGCCCAACAAAAGAACCTGAATGCTGGTTTTCTAGCATGCTTGAACCTCTCCAACACATCTACTACCAAATCATGGCTTAAGTTGATCCCACATTCATCCAAAACAGCCTCCATATTCCGATCTAACGAAAACAACTCATCAATAACCTTACACACCCGTTCCACCTCTTTAGGATCCGCCTTCGACTCCACCACCCTCTCATCGCTCTCAGTATCAACATCATTATCACTTTCTAACTCACCATCATTATCTACACAACTACAAATTCCCCTACAACTCAACCTCAAATTCGAATTAATACCAGTAAAATAAAAATAACCTTTTGACGAAAAAGGCGAAATCTTTCTGGAATTACTAAATAACAACTTCCCTTGAGAATTACAGAGTGAAGTTTGTACAGTGCTAAATTTCTTAGTATTGAACTCCAAAAACTTCACATCTGGGTGACTATTGGTAACATAAAAACACCCTTTTGGCAAAAGAGGCCAAATTCTTCTGGGATTACTCAATGACAACTTTTCTTGAAAAAAACAGAGTAAAGTGGGGTGTGGCAAAAGAGATGAAACTTGACAATGAGAAAAATGGATACTACAATGAGCAAAAGAATGAAACAAACGAGACAAGGGCAGAGAGCTACCAAAAATACAGAAGGCTTGCTCTCTTCTTCTAAATCTTCCTCGTAGGCTTGCCTCTTGTTGGTCATCATCAACAGAGGATAACTGGGTGGCGGCGCTGTTGAGGAGTTGATAGCCCTTGAAGCTGAGCAGTGGAATTGTGTGCTCAGAAGGCTTAAAGATTGCAACTTTTTCAAGATTCCTCATGGAAATAGCCATTGAGAGTCCATTGGAAGTGGAAAAAATTGCCACCAATTTGGGATTTTTGAGCTAGTTTTGCAAGATCGCAGCAGCGAGATTTGGGCCTATTGGAAATTTTTGGCTATTAAGATTATGCTTTTGTTCAGAGTTGTACAGTGTGCATAGTAACTTGTACATTATCTTGTTCTACTAAAAAAAAGTTCCCTTTTTTAATGAAAACACTTGCAAAGTGTTCCAATTCAATATTCCGAATATTTCTGGTATAAGTTATTCTTTGTCAATAAGTTGTTAAATTAATCACATAAAATATGTTATTTTCTTTTCATTTTTAAATAAACACTCCGTTCTAATGAGATAGTTTGAATTTTTCTGATAGCTCTTTCGACGATGATGATATTGTGTTAATCACATAAAATATTTTAATCTTCTTTAATCATACGCATTCGCTTTAGTAGTCATAAGACCTCATGTATTTTCTACTTAAGATTGAATGATTGATGTGTTTATTATTAAAGAATGTTATGTTTTATATAATTAACTTAACTGCTTTTTTTAAAAAAAAATTATGAGAAATTGATTTGTTCATTTAAGTAGAATAATCTTAGACATAGTATATTCCTGAAGAAAAAAGTGATTATAAGCTTTATCTTACATCAATAACAACTAGAATGCTTAAATTTGAAGTTAACTGAAATCGATTACATAAATCATCACTAATCATGTCGCAGCATATTTCCATGGTAGCTTTTACTGAAACACTAATTTGATTGTACCCTTTAGCGCCCACCACTGAACACTTGCTGCTTCTTCACTCTACAGTCTACTGTTTCACAAATTATTTTTGTAATGAGTGACTGATAACAGCATGTCAAAACAAGAATCATTTCACCTGAGCAAATTATGCCACAAAAGTACCCTACAAGGCAACAACCTTTATGATTATATCCTTATGAAATGATGATTTTTTTCTTTCTAAATTGTACCAAATAGGCAAAAAGTATATATCATTTTATAGAAGAAAGTAACTGATTGCTATCTGTTCCTACCAAGTTTGTAGTACAGACCAGACAATAGTATTATATTAATCATGAAGTGATAAATGTTTGATAAAACACATATCATGCATTTATTCGTTTAATATGAATCCCTCTGAACAGAAGAGAAAGATGGGAACATAGCAATTCACTAACCGAGTGTCGTTGAGCACAAACTGTCCAGCCATCTTTTGGAGATATATAGAGTACTAGTCACTCAATAGATGGGCAAGGAAACAGTAAGACAACCCAGCCAAACTGTTCTTAAAGTTATGTTTATAAACAAAATGTTCAACAGGAGTCTCTTTCTATGTAACATATGTACCAAATGAAAATTACATATAATATACAACACAGTTTCAAAGCATCACTTCAACAAGTCATTGCCGAGAAGAAAGGACAAAGGCCAATTTGACCTTGCCTGGAACATCTCGATTCGATGATAAACTACAAAGAAAAAGAAAAAGGAAATGAAAAAGAAGACTAATTGCTCAATGCTCATGATTGAGCAGCAGTTTCTTCAGACACTTGCTCTGTCATTGTATCAGAAGACTCCTTCATCTCTAAGACGGGAATTTCCTTTATCTCCTTGACAGAAGCAACGTTTGTCACCTTAACCAGAGCTTCATCTGTCTCTTTCATTGGAGTTCCATTTGACTCTGCTATTGGAGCTTCCTTTATTATCTCCTTAATTGGAGTTTCCTTTATCTCCTTAATTGGTGTTTCCTTCATCTCCTTCAAAGAGGATTCCTTTTTTGCTTTCACCAACTTTGTAGGTTCTTTGACTCTAGGAGTTCCATTACTGATTCGACCACTCACACGATCTTTGCTTTTGGGGGTGGGTGGGGTAGGACTGCCTTGTTTGTAAACACCAATGCTGTGACGACCCCTAGCAGAAGCTTTCTTTTCTTCAGGAGATGCTCCGACTGCATCACTACAGCTCTTTCTACGGGTTAGATTTGGTGATTTGGCACGAGTGACTGGTAGCTGCATGCAAAGCAGGAACATTTTTATTTGCTTACAAGGATACAAACTCAATCTAGTACATCAGAAAAAACAGAACTCAAGATTGTTGCATGATTGTTTGATCAATTACTTGGGGAGTAGAAGACACATTTAGGTCTAAATTACATTCAAAATATGTCATTTATAGAGTCAAGTTGCTTCGGTTATGTCTAATACCATCGCTTTCGAACATAGACTAAACATGCAAATAGAACACATGCATTCCACAATTGATTGCACTAACTAGCATCTTCATGTTTTATCTTCTGAAATCCTTTTTGAGGCAACAACATTTGTAACTGTGATTTATCACATGGCATTGAAGTTAGAAAATTGGTCATTCATATTTTATGCTAGCCAAACCCTTGCCTTCATTGGACAAGTTTCTTATACAGGATAGAAGGAAAAATATTAGCAAGAGGAACCAACTTCCAACTATAAACAAAGAGTATATATATACGTGAAGAGTACCTTCTTAAGTTCAGCCTTTGGAGGTGGCCCTTCACGGTAAAAATTAGGAACTGGATTTGCTCTGTAGGACATGGCCTTTCTAAGCTGTTTAATTGCTGCCTCTTCCTCTTCCTAAAATTGTAGAGAATAAGTTAGGGGTCAATTATCTTACTTCACAACGTGTCATTTTTCTCCCCACCAGGCCTAAAGGTTGGGGCAATCAAAATGTTGTGAGAAACTAATCCATGCATGCTACAACATAATACCTTTGTTCTGGCTGCATATTCTTGTTTCTCCGCCTCCAGAGCTTTGTGCTTTTCCTCTAACTTTGTGTAATACTAGATAATAAAATGAGAAAGATTGAGATAGCAATGTTTGTTGAGAAAACAAAGCACAATTACAAGTTAATTATGAACGACGAGAGGAGCTTAGTTTGAACAAGAATTTCATTCAAGTTTCAGGAAAATACCTCTTTACGTCTCGCTGAGCGTTCAGAACATTTAAATGTTGGAGCTACAGGAACAGTAACCTTGGACCTAATTGTCCGCACAGAAGCTGCAGTTCTATGAAAGATAAGGAAGATTTCCCAGAAGAACAAGGAAAAAAACAGACATTTTTGATAGTGAAGTCTGCAAAAAGAGGAATTAGAAGTCCAATAAAAGGATACGAGGAAGCCAAAGACCAATTATCATCTTCATCCTGCATCCGCAACTTCCTTGTCATCATGGGAGAATTTTGCTGCAACAAGATAAAGGATTCTCAAGGTCAGTGGTCTGATCATAAGGGCACAAGAATTACATGACATCAGAGGAGATACAAGTATTATATAGAGTTATGAAGGATGTGAAATAATGAAACCAAAAGACTGAAATAATAGTATGGAAGCCTGATAAATTCAAACAAGATACTGAATTTGCGTTCGGTACAGGTTGCAGTAAATTATCGTTCTGCTTGCTGCAGCCAACTTTTTGTCCTTCTTCATTCAGTGACTAACTCACTTAAGTTGCAATCCAAAATCAATCTATCTACTTTTTGGCAAAACCTGAGTCATGATTTGCTGAAGATACCCAGTTAATGCTACTGTGATATCAACATCAAAATTTAAGCCTATTTTGTTTACGTGGTGATGAGTTCGGAGCTTCCCACTAAGCATCCAGATATCATCATAGAACTTAAATCTTGACATATTTATAGAGGAGTAAGAAGTTATGCATTAAGCATCAACTCGTTTCAGGCTATTCATTTTACCACTCACACCACCCACCAAAACACCACCAAAACCTACAGAAAAGAAATCATTCTCTGGATTTTATGCTGGTTCAAAAATACTTTAAACATTGTCAGATAATCAATAGCAGGATTTAGCAAGCAGTTTTTCTGGACATCTTTGAGCTGCAAATAAAATCCACGGCCCCTTACAAATGCAATCCTTTATATGGTGGCAAATAACAGAGTCCAGATTATAAGAACTGCAGCATATTCCAGATTGTTCGTATCAATTTAAAGCAACAAAATCTTACATGCAATTTTTGTGAAGTCATAGGAGACTGCAGATCGATGGACTTTGATGAACAATTCGAGCCAGCATCAACAGTCTGAGTGTTTTCATGATTTTCAGATTCATTCCCTGATGAATTCATAACTGGGGGGGCTGGACTTTCAGTTGCTGCAGTAGAATCAGATGAAGGTTTCATTGGTGAGCCCAACTTCTTGTCACTGGACTTCACAGCCTCAGTCTTCGTAATTTTTCCCTCAATCGGGCCAGGTTCACAGTTAGTGCTTTTCACAGATAGTACATCCTGCTTCTCATGGGCTTCCTCCACATGTGTGCCATTTGCAGTGTGATCCTCTGCCTCAAACTCCTTTGCTTCAACCCTTTCCTTGGCAATTCTGGGGGCAACATGGACTGCACCATGGGTGACACCATTTGGCTTAACAGTAGGTTTCTTATCAGAACGTAAACCTGTAACGTCTCTCCCCATCACCTGCAAGAAGAAATATACAGAATAAAAGCCTAAAAATGCAATCCCTCAAGGGTAGATACACTTATAACTTGTGACTCACAGATGAAAGGACTACAGGACATGCAGAAATAAAGTCATTACACACTTCATTGTTTGATCACAAACCAAAAAAGATAAACAAATAACTAATAAAGCGTAACACATACATTTCTAACCCCAGAAGGAAGAAGAAAGAACGAAGTCCCCAGAAATATTCTAGAAGTCAAGAAATGCAACTGTATCACAAATTCAGACAAGTATAATTCCAATGATTCCCAAAATGATGTCCCCGTCGACAACATTTGGCACATTATGGAGTCAAATAAACCAGGTTGCAGATCTATAAGCAAATAAATGCATCTTCTGTCTAATAGCTTAAGCCTTAGGTGAGGAGATCAATCCATTCAACAAACCAAGTGATAATGTTACAAGCTCAGTCCTTAGTCCAGAGAAAAACATATTTAGTTTTCTGAGGACAGAAAATGTTCAGCTGATCAAGCAAAATATTTCCATCAATATAGTAATCACAGTTAGGACAGTCGGAAGCATTAAGGTAAAGGTGCAAGCAAAAAATAACGAAACAACAGGAGTCTCCAGCGACCTGCTTTTAGATCCCAATAGTTCATTTATTTTGTTTCAGTAAAGCAGTCCGAAGAATTAGCATCTACCTAGCAAATCAAGAATATATTCCTGAATCGAAAGAGAAGTTCTTCAAAATTCAAGAAAGTCCTTTTTCCCTCATATCAGGAATTACCATTTATATAGTGACCAACTTTACATATGAAAGAATCTAATCCCCCTATGAAAATGACATGGCCCGACAAACAAAGTCTTTGAGGTAGAGATCAAAAAATCTAACCCTATAGGTTACCTCTCAAACACTAAAATTGGAGAGCCAAATAGAATGTTACAAGGCCCCAAAAATATCTTAGAATTGGAAAATTTACAGAACTAAAAGGGGAAAGAACTTGCAAGAAAGAGAGAGATCAGGAGAATATCCTAACCACCTCAGAATGCAAAGTGGCACAATATTTTTCAAGGGAGGCCACACTTAAAGAAAGAAGACTCCCAAATGTCTAATTCCAATCATGAAAAAGCTCATGACATGAAAAAGAAACTAATCTCTGAAATCTGAATATTGCATAAGGAAAAAAGCCTCACAATTCACAAATCTCTGGGTGCACAAAAGAAAGATAAAACAGAAGGAATAAATGTATCTATCCAAATTTGCAGAACCAAATGCTCAAATCTATCAGAAATGTGAAAACTCTGGCGCAAAAGAAGAGGAAGTAATAATCTTCTAACCAACAGAAACACAGCCTAAACAGCCCCTTCAGTAGACACAAAAAAGCATAGCCCACCCTTGAAAACCAGAAAAAAATGAAGGAAAAATTTTTTAACAAAAAAAAAAGAAAAAAGGAATCAACCCAATCTAGTACCCTCAATGCCTCCAACATATGCACCAAATTGCTCAAATACATAACAAAAAACAAACTTCAAACTCTTATGCAAAACAAAAAAAGAAGAAAAAAAAAAGCCATAGACATGAAGGCAAAATTCCCACAGCTCAAACACCCACGAAAATAAAAATAAAAATGAACCAAACTCTCAACCCCATAAACAGAATTAGCTCAGAAAGAAAGAAAAACACCCTAAAATTCCTCATGTTCAAACCCCACTTCCATTTTCCAAGATTTTAACCAAAAAAATCCAATCTTTACCACAAAACTCAAACACCCACATAATAAAATGTGTTCATACACAGAGAAAAATGAACAACAACAAAAATTTACCAAAAACTTGAGTCTTTCAGCTTAAGAACCTAACCTGAAACAACCCCACCAAAGAAAAAAACAAAAAGAAAAGAATGGGGGATTTCAAAACATGCAGATCAGAAGGAAAAAATAAATCCTTACGAGGTTATCTTTTATGACCCTTTAAGCTTCTGATCTGATAGAGATCTCTTCAAACACAGCAAAAACACAAAACCCCACAAACGTGAAACCAACTCTTCTTCCTCCTCCTCCTCCTCCTCCTCCTCTGCCTCTGTTTTTTGTTTTCTCTCTGTAAAACTATACAAAAAAAAAATGTTTTGTGTTTACTTTTTTTTTATTTTATGTATGTATAATTGTTATGATTATTGGTTCTCTCTTCTGTCTGTCCTTTTCTTTCTCCTCTTCTCTCTTTTTTATCTTTTTTATTTTTTTTAAATAAATTATGCTTCTTTTTTCAGCTCCATTTTTATCTTTTTTCTTGGTCAATCTCGAGTCTCAACACCGTTATTGTCGGGCAGTTGCCTGTACAGTAGATCTATAGTCATATCAATTACCATTAATATTTTTTCCTTTTTTCTTTTTTTCCTTATAAATATCAATTTTGTAATTTATTGGAGGGAAAAATGAAAATTTATATTTTTATCTTCTTTTTTTTTTTTGGGTGGTTGACTGCATTTTAGGGAGTATATAAGATTTTATATTTATATGAAAAAGTGGGGCTAGCAAATATTTTATTTTATTATTTTGGAAGTTTAAAATTTAAAATAGTAATCCCTCCTTTTTCCATCTCTTTCTTAAGTTTTCAACCAAAGAAGGGGGAGGAATTCAATAAAGCTACCCATGTTGAATCAAATACTCAAAGTTAGTTGAATTAAAAAAATATTTTTTTTGATATGTTTATTAAAATTTGACTAATTTAAATCACGTAAGAATTTTATTTAAAAGAAAATATTTTCAAATTAGACTCAAAAATTGAATACGAGATTTCGATTAAGGAGGAGCAATCACGTCTGTTGATGGTAAAGTTAGTTGAATAATAGTATCTTTTTAAAAAAATTATAAAAGTATTATTTTACAGTTTACTTTTTATTTTCGAGTCTAATAGTGAATTTTAATCTAAAATATTAATAAAAATAACAATTAGTAGTAAATATATTATATAAATAATAACATGGTTAAGTTGTATTTGCCGATTGTGGAGTCGATTTATGATTTCCTTCTCATAAAATTCGAAATAGAAATTTATACTTAAAAGTGAAGTGAAAATCAATCATCTCAAATTGATATCTTTCTACTTTTAGATAGTTGAGACAAAGCACCACATCTTGTTTTTTTTTTCGCGTTATCTCGAGCTCTCACACTTCACAACTTAAATTGATAAATTCTCAATAAATGAAAGAATCAAAAATTTAAACTAAAACTTTTTTTTTTTAATTAAGCAACAACAACACAATCTAGTATGTTGAAAATATCATCATTTTACTTTGCCTTGTCCAAGAGTTTTCAGAATAGTATGTAACTAAATCATAAATATGAAAAAAAATCATTTAAATTTTGCTTCACTTAATTATATTTGGTACTAGGTAGGGTAGGGTGGGGGTAGTCTAAGGGTGGGGCTAAGTTAATATTTGATAATAGCAGAAAAACTCGCAAATCATTTGTTATTTCAAATTTATTCAAAATTATAATTTGTAGTTTAAGTATAAAAAGAAAATTACTCGATATAAATTTAAATTAGTCGGAAAAAAAAATTACCTCGAGGGGTATGGTAGTAGTAGTAATTTTTTGTTGTTATGGTTTTAGACAAAGGTAGGGTTTACATATAGGCCTTCTGTCACTCTGAGCCTCTCATCTTTTCGCTTTTTTGTCGGAGATGCTTTTATTGCCCTTTGCCTGAACTAGTTTTTACCCTACACTTCAAATTTTTTTAAATATTTACCACATTATTTTACATAAAAAAAAATATGTATGTGTACAATTTGAAATTAAAATATATATTAATAAAGTAAGATTTAAAAAAATATATATTTAAAAGTTTAAATTGTGTTTGGACTTATTTGTTTCTATCTTCCTATATTTTGAAGGAAAAAAAAAACAAATTTTATAGTTAAACAGTAAAATTTATTATTAATATTGTTTAGAGATGAATAAGCGTCAAATATTCTTTAGCTGTGAGTAAAATAACGACGGACCAATGATGAAGTTCATAATTAAATATTGTAATTTTTAGTGGTGAAGTTCGAAATAATCAAACATAAAATAGATAAGAAATTCATGATTTATTTGTGTGCGCTTTCAAAACTATATATAGATAGCTATGAAGAGAGGGGAGAGAATTTCAAAAATGTCCGGGGTTTTGAGTTTCACCGTACGAAGGTGAAAAATTAACAGATATTAGAAATATAATTTGATTCGAAAAATAAATCAATCAATCATTTAACTAAAGCTGAAATCAAAATCGAAGCCAAAATCAAGCAACAATAATAGCGCATCGGAAAAGACTATCTTTTTCAATTTTTTTATGAACTAGCAATGTATTTTCATACATAAACACAAAAACTCACCTCTATCTATCTCAATTCACACCTTAACTACATATGGAAAAAAAATTTATTTACGCACTTCGAATATATTTTTTTTTAACAACTTTTTCCGATATTTCCCAAATAATACAAAATTGACTTAACACCAACATGAGTGTTGCTACATACACTCAAATAAAATGAAAAAATTGAGACTATTATTGATGATAATACTCCTTTAATATTTTGATGTTAAGTTACCATAAGAGTAAAGTTAAAAGTTAGATGAGTTTGTTAAGAAGTTATAATGATGAAATATAATGAACTAATTTCTAGTTGCATGGTGAAGTCATATCACCAACATTTGTATGACAATAAATGTGTGATATAAGACATATATACTATAATTTACACCTCAAGTCAAAAAATTAGTTGAAATGTTACATGTAATTAATTAAATAAGCTCAAATCTACATCCAAATTAGGTATTTTGTTAGTATATTTATAGAGACATTTAAACCTTTTATTTTAATGCATTAAGTATATCGAATTGTCAATTTCTTATTCTCGTGTGATAGAAGACATGAAAAGATCCTCTCCATTACTATGTTGTCCAATACTTTTTAATGGCATAGTAAATGAATGTCATATTTATAAATAAAAAAATAGTTTTCTTGTTAATTTTTTTATCAAAAGAATCTTACATTAAATAATATTAAATCTGAAGTGTTTATATGTATTGATACTTCTTTAATTTTATGTATATGTTAGTTACCACATTAAAACTATTCTAAAAAGTAAACCGACACAAAAATTGTGAAAATTTTTTATTTAACGATTTAAAATTTTTAGAAATAGACACATGAACAAGTCGAAAGAATTTGATTGTTAATATATATATATATATATAATTATTTTAATCATACATAAATAATATAATTTTTTGACGAAGAAGGTTTGAATAAACCGATTACGTATAAGGTGTCTCTCCCCTAAATAGCAATTGAGTGTTTGTCATATTTTTTATGTGGAGAAGGTTGAGGCTATTTTATTCAATAGTCACATAGTTTTCTTCATTTGTTCTTTGTATCGTAATATTATTTTAAAAATACTTGTTTTACCTCACAAAACAAGCAATACTGTTCGTACATTTGATCTTCTTCGAATTCATGAATAGTATATGTTATTGAATTAGTTATACATAAATTATTTTTATGCGTTGTTTTATTTGATGTATAAAAATAATAGCGTAAATTGTATACTATGGTAAAAAAGATGTAAAAAGAAATATTTGAGGGGCCATTGGATCTTTAATCATTTTAATGCATGTATTAAAATTATTGTATTGCCAATACTTATAAATTATTGATATTTGCAATACACACTTTAATATACGATAAAGAGTGGTCCCTCCGTCCATAGTTTTTTTATACTAAAAATAAATATTCAAGATTAATTGTCAATTGAAACAATAAAAAAAAATATTAGTTGTTTTTTTTTCAGTTCTGCCCTTTATAATTAATCAAATTACAGCTTGTATTAAATTTTTCTTAACGGAAGTGCAATTGTGAATGAAGGAAGTATAACTAAAGGTCGAAAAAGAGTACCAAAAAAATATATATTAATAATACTCAGCGCTAATGTGTACTTTTCTAATTTTCTTAATACATTTTACCAAACGATCCATTATGATTAACCACACAATATTCAAAATTCTCCAAATATTTGGAAACTTTATTTATTTATTGTGAAGAAATTTGAGAAAGAAAACTATAATTAAAGTTTTGTTGACAAAGAGGCAAATTGGTAGAGCTTTCATCCTCTAATTTTCTTACAACACTTTAATCCACCAACTGACAGAGAAAATTAAACTAAAGTATTAATAAAATATAAAGTATCAAAATGAAAAAGTCATTACAAAAGTGAACCCAACATTGTTATTTTTAATATTATATGGTACACGTTCTTATCTTGAAAAAATATATATACACAAAGATTCTTGATATATACTTACTAAAGAAGAAAAGATAATTAGGGTCCACTAATCAGAAAATTTTCGGTAAGATAGTGATTAATCAATAATCAAGACAAAATATAGATTGCTTGCAAGGTTTGTGTTACGATAATAATTATTAAATTGATTAATTGCTTAAGATCAATTCAAATCTTTCTCGTAAATAAATTTATTAATTTAGTAAGATGTAGTGACAATTATAAATAAATTGATCAAGTTCTTAAATCGTTACATATTAATCTTAGCAAGATAGGCGATCGATAATTTTATTTTATTTTTTAAAAAAAATCATTTTTAAATATACATAAGTGCCTTTCATAGTTAGATATTCCTTTTGTGGCGACTTAAATTAATTATTCAGTATTAAAATTTAATGACAATGGGTCAATTGGTTTTGTTATTCGTCAACAACTTGTTTTAAATATTAAAAAATTAAAAGAGATTTGAAAGTAGCATATAAAAATCAGAAAAGATTTTTTTTTCTTAGAATTCAAATTACGAGCCGTCATAGAAAGTTTTTTTTCTTTTTTTGCAATTACAATAATAATTTTTGTATCGCAATTTAAATTACGTAAAGTATTTTATTTTCGTCAAATTTCATGGAGTTATGCTACTAGACCATGATAAAAATGTAAGGAAAAAAATGTGGGGAAGTAATTAAAGAAAAGATAACTTTTTATTTTTTTGTGTTTGATTACATCTTTAATAATTCTCTCATCCATTTTAAATTGTATATTCGAATGTTTTGATTTGACTTCTTAGTCTAAATTGAACACCAACGAT